GACTCAGCATATCTAATCATTGTGTTACATCAAACCTGACGTATTTTTTGTGGAGTTCAATTTTAGTTTTTACAACCATTCACCATGCACTATCATGGGCCGGTTATGGTTGCTACCTTTTGGCTGCCCGTTTGAATGAGGCAGTAGGAGAATGACAGGGAAGTCGCGAGCAGAGTCGAATGGAGAAAATGCAGAATTTCAGTGGACTAAGATTGCAAAGAAATTGAGATGCCCGAACGCCACTGTTTACGACATTCAACCATATCACTCAGTGTCTCTAACCATCGGTTACGATCATTCCGAGGTCCCCAGCCAGGGAGCCTAACAGAGCCCACGTGACCCAGACTCCTGGTTAGGGCTTTTATGCCTTCATGCCAGGTCTTAGCTTGACCACCCTTGGCTTCATTCCACCCACTACCTGCCTTGGCAGACATCGCTCGCCGTAGCAACCTATCTGGTGAAATGCGTAACACATGCCCCAACCAGCGTAATCTACGTAGGTCGACCACTCGCTCTAGTGAACAAATAAAGCCTCAGTATGGTCGCGGTAGGTGTTTGGGATTGTGACTGGCCACCATTTTCTTACACCTCGCGAAATGCTCCCTTACAACAGCGTCTCAAATAGCCTCTACTGAGGAAGCCAATGGACTTCGGACTCTGAGCTCCGTCCTGTTATCTTGCAGGTCTGACTTTCTAGCCAAAGGCTTCGAGTGGGGACCCGAGACTATCCACCTTCGTCGGCCATGGCAAACGAGAAGTAACATGCTCACACAACCTATGAACACACTCTTCAGATTTCTCTTTGTTCATATGTTGTCGCACATTTGCCACTTCTCTATAACTGGTTACGTGTTGTTGAAATTTTTTGATTTGTTTATTTAATTTTACTTCCTTTTATTGAATACACAATGATACAATTTTCAGTGAGGGAGAAGCGGCCAATCAAAGGGCTAGGGAAAGTCAGGCGGTGGTGGTGGAGTTCGAAAGCACGTTCCTCGAAGTGATTGATAATTTGGTGACATTATCACCGGGCGAACACCGCCCAGAGAGACAGACAGACAGACACAACAGTGATCGAATGGATGAGTGATCGTGACTCGGGTCTGGTTCACGTGACCCGCCCGTCCCTTGAACCGTATGCTTGTTCGCGCTCTATATAAACTGTTCAACTCCGCACGTTATACACACAATTTGAACTGTGTTCAGTTGAAAGTTCGTTCCAATCTGCTGCAGATGACATACTGGATGAGTAGTACTCAAGTGGAGAAAGATGGATCCGCATTGTACTGCTCATCGGATCAAATTGAGCTCTGATTAGGGGAGCAGGGACGAGGACGGACCCGTTTGTCCGAAAACTGGGACTGAGTCTTCTATCAACACTCTGGTGGTGGTAGTGATGGAAAAAACTTGTTCTCGTCAGTCGTGTTGATTGGTCTGTGGGACTTTTAATGATGCCTGCCATTGGTGGAATCACGCCGAGACGGACGAACGAACGAACGGGAGGGAAAAAAATCCAACAACAAGGCAGTTGCGAGCGACACGCAACCACGAACTATAGGTCTTCTGACATACAGACGGAACCGTCCGAATCAGTACGGCTGAACCGTTGAGAGCGAGAGAGAGATTAGAGGGATAAGAGCGAGAAGGCACATGGTCTGTGTGTGTGTGCGAGTGGGAACCGATGCATTTCGACAGCTGGTAGTTCACACGGTCGTAAATTTGAAAATAGAGTT